TTTTGAAATACTTAAGTTTATAACTTTTTAAAGCAATTTTTTATTTCAAATTACTAAAAACATTTTTTTGTATAATTTTAATATTAATTTTAATAACATTATTTTTATCAACAACTTTGTACCATTTCGATCTGAAATGCCGCTTCCTTGCTACAGTTTTTTTTTATTTCAAAGTTGCCAATTTGAAAATTTGACAAGATCCAAAATGATCGACTTTTAGCAAAATTGGAATCATTGTCTATAACAAACAATTATGCAATGTTTCATGCAAATTGAAAAAAGCTGAGTTTGTCCGATACATTCTTTGGTGTGGAACTTCTCAGTTATAATCCAAACGGCCAATCGGCTTTTGGGGCCATCCATAAACCGCGTGAACAGAAATAGCATGATTTTCACTCCCCCTCCGTGGACAAGCATGAACATAGGCTAGACCCCTACCCCCTCCTCTGATGTCTTGGACTTGTCGTGGACTATCTTTTTTGTTGTCAAGTTTTCCCAAAAATATTCGTCTCGTCCCTATCGTTTCCAACTTTATATTCTTATGTTTCGTACTTTGAAAAGGATAACTTCTGAGACAAGATGTGACAATAAATTAGATAAGTATACGAAGAGTTCAATTATAGTTCTGATAATTTTGATCTCATTGGAAAACTCAAGAAGGTGACAAGTTTAAATAGGTAATACCAGAAGATTTCTATACCTTATTCTTTATAACTAAATCAAAGACTTTATTGAAAAGAGCATATGACCAGTTTTCTAGATCATTTTACAGAATGGTTAGGAAAATTTATAAAGGCTCAACATCCAACTTCATAGTCAGATGATGGTTAGTTCACCATGTTATATCTTCATTTTATTTCAGCAACCTTATCTTCCAGCAGACGCTCTGGACAGCAATTTCAACATCTAAAAAAAATCTACATTTGCCAGTAACACTGACTGGGTGTATCCTATGGCTAACCTTCCCAACTAACATATTTCCTAAGTTCCCGAAACATTTATGAGGGGTCGTAGCGTTCTCTAGCAGCAGAAAACGAAGGTGGCACGGCAACAGACCGCGAAGTGCAGAAGACGACACGCTACCGGCCCCTGATCTTCAAGAAATTGAGGAGGAGATCGGTCGGCTGAAGAACAACAAAGCAATTGGTGTAGATCAACTACCAAGTGAGCTATTAAAATACGGAGTTACCACGGACCAAATTTTTGCGATTCGGCAGGTTCTGCAGAAATGCCGCGAATACAACGTGCCCACACATCATTTGTTCATCGATTTCAAATCCGCATACGACACAATCGATCGAGATCAGCTATGGCAGATTATGCACGAGTACGGATTTCCGAATAAACTGACGCGATTGGTCAAGGCGACGATGGATCGAGTGATGTGCGTTGTTCGAGTATCGGGGACACTCTCGAGTACCTTTGAATCTCGAAGGGGGTTACGGCAAGGTTATGGATTTTCGTGTCTGCTATTCAACATCGCATTAAAAGGTGTGATCAGAAGAGCTGGGATAGACACGAGTGGCACGATCTTCAGGAAGTCCATCCAGCTTCTTGGCTTTGCCGATGACATTGACATCATGGCACGGAACTTTTAGACGATGGCGGAAACGTACGCTGAAGCTAGGCGGATTGGACTTGCCATCAACGCATCAAAGACAAAATACATGAAAGGAAGAGGTTCTAGGGAAGACAATGTTGGCCTCCCACCCCGAGTTCAAATTGACGGTGACGAAATCGAGGTGGTCGATGAGTTCGTGTATTTGGGCTCACTGGTGACCGCCGAAAATGATACCAGCAGAGAAATTCAAAGACGCATTATGGCAGGGAATCGTGCCTACTTTGGACTCCAGAGGACGCTCCTGTCGAATAAAATTCGCCGCCGCACGAAGTTGGCTGTCTACAAGACGCTGATTAGAACGGTGGTCCTCTACGGCCACGAGATGGATGACGGAACGTGGAGGAGGTGAATGAACCACGAATTGCACCAGCTGCTGGGAGAACCATCCATCGGCCACATTGCCAAAATTGGGCGACTACGGTGGGCTGGGCACGTCGTAAGAACGCCACACGACGACCCAGTGAAAATGGTTCTAGAAAGCGACCCAACAGGAAAAAGAAAAAGAGGCACGCAGCGGGTAAGGTGGATCGACCAAGTAGAAGGCGTCCTGCGGACCCTTCGCAGACTACGAGACTGGCGAAGTGTGGCCATGGATCGAGTAGAGTGGAGACGACTTCTTCGGACAGCAGAGGACAACAAGGCCTTAGCCTGATTGGTAAGGTAAGTATGTAGAGTTCTCTGCATCTCTCTTAAGTAAATTTTGGACTAACATACCTTTCCTATCCCTACCAGTTGTAAGGACGTGGCCAGGACAATCCTCAACTGTTGGAGCGGGATATGTCTTTATCTGGGAGATAGTAATTATTTCTTACTTACTATCTGTCCAGTAATAGATATCCGTCTTGCTCTTAATAGTTTTGAATTCATACCACCTACGATATTGTGCAACTTGTTTGATGCTAATGCTCATGCTAATATCCAACTTCAAAGTCAGTGTACCCGTCAAAATTCATCAGGACCGTTTCGAAAGCTTCGTAACTTTAAAACTCTTATGACATTTTGTGAAAACCCAATTTATCTTGCTTCTAAGGTCACCCCTACCTTCCCTGAAATCCTAGAACGACCTCCGATGTTCTATAAATCAACTCGACAGTGAGTATGCATAAGGGCCTATACGCGATGATCGATTCTCTTCATCGATTTTCTCTTTGCATTGCTACAGCTAAGCGCAACAATTTTGTAGAATTTATTCAATGTAGAGTTGTAACAGGTTGCATTGGCTATCAAAAGCAACAGCAAACGCACCGACAAACGTTAAATCTAGCGAGTTATTAACAAAAGAGAAAATCGATGAAGAGAATCGATCATCGCGTATACGCCCTTATGAATGCTCACTGTCGAACTTATAAAATCATCTAAGCACATCACTATAGTAATACTTAGGAACCAAATCCAACTCACTAGTCGAAATTCATGAAAATCAAAACAGCAGCTCTTTAGTCTTGTAGTTGAAATGCACTGAACTTTTACTTGAAGTTTCTGGTGCTGCGCTTTGGAAGTTTCCAGAAATCACGAAAAAACCCGGTCCTGATAGAAGTATACTTTAAGTTAGTTCGTGATTTAATGTTTTCAGAATCGTCCCTAAACCTGACTAGGCCCGACTTTGAAGTCTTGTATACTTTCAAACAAACCCACTTCATCCGCCATGAAGTCTCCCGAACCTGTTTATAACATCCTCCAGACTCCTTCTAAAAGTTCCTTAGTTTAGTTTAGTTTAGATCCATTTGTCAAAACTTTACTTCACTTCATCCGCCATGAAGTCTCCCGAACCTGTTTATAACATCCTCCAGACTCCTTCTAAAAGTTCCTTAGTTTAGTTTAGTTTAGATCCATTTGTCAAAAGAGAAGCCGAAAGTTACAAAACAAAAACTAAAACTCGAAAGTATTTAGGGGAAGTTACGTATTCTCGGCAACCTAAGCAGCGACCTTTTTCTCTATGGAACGCACACATATGCAGTATTGGTTTGTTTACAATCTTTTGCTGCCAGCTGCTCTAACAATTTCAGTCGAAAGAATTGTCAAAAACTGCTTTGAAACGCTTTTACAAAGCTCCAATCTTCTCTAGTGAGAGCGAGTATTGTCGGCAACCAGTTTTTCTTCGGCAATCGTTCCATTTGAACTGCATGTAAATCTGCTGTTCTATTATCGGCAACTCGAAATCAGCTACAATTTGTAGTGCGTGTGTTTCATTTCAAGAAAACCCTGCTAGATTGCTTTTTCTCAGTGGTAAAAATATAGTCAAATTGAAGCTGAAAGCATAAAGAATCGTTTGCATGCATTCAGCGAAGTGTTTTCGTAAGCAAATCCAGTGAAAATAGTGTTTCAATTTGGGTTGCCGAAAATATTCTGTCATGCCGAAGCCGTCATTTCCCCTAGTTCCCTAACCATCATATCCGGACTTTAATGAGAATTGTTAGTTCCTTAACATGAGAATTTATTAGATTCCAATATTGGACGCTCTTCATATATCACCAATGATGGGGTTTTGCCTCAACACAGATTCTATACACTTCCCCCAAGGGCAGTCGGAATTTTTCCAGGAATAATTCATGCGGTCCTGTGTACTTGATACATCCGTCAATGATTTTGTTATTGTATTTTTATGTGATTTTATATATCTTTTTTTCCTTTGTTTAACGTCGGTCTCTGTTCCGCAATCTAGTGCCAATCACCGACGGACATCGATTGACGGCAATCGAATGTGCAGGAAGGCAACTTCCACACCTGCGAAGGGTATCGCACCCATTCAACACACATGGGCCAGGACCAACGGCTTTACTTCCCTTCCGAAGGAAGACGTGACCAGAGATTTGTATGCCTCAGAAAAATCCCACCGACCTCGGCTGGGATTGAACCCAGACCCATCGGGGTGTTAGCAGTCACACTTACCACTACACCACCGGCGCCGGCTGATTTTATATTTAGCGCGATATTTTTTGGCAGATTATGATCATTCATCCGCGAGAAACCGAATCACGTTCATTTATTTTTGTTAGCATAGGTATTTCATTTTATTCAATATAATTCGTGGACACGACGTGGACGATGATAAAACCCCCCTCCCCGTGGACAAGCGTGGACTTTTCCGTACTGCCTCACCCCTAAGTTATCCACGTGGTATATGGACAGCCCCTTTGCTTAACACTCAATCAAACTAAATGGAATAATTGTTAATCTCATAAAACCTCAATAAAGCTCAAGTAAAGCTGTAAGGCATTGGGAATGTTACTTGAAATACTGGAAAAGTCTTAGAAGCTTTAAATTTATTTCAATTAAAATTTCTAGGCTGTTACTTGCGTAAAAGCTTGATAAATATGAATTCAATTTCAAACGAAGAGTTAAATGGACGTACGTATGAATATAATTTGACATCACTTACATCGTGCTAAACTAATATATCCTCGGTGCATTGTGTCTTCTTTGCTGACTTTGCTCGTCTGACAACCGGAAAATCTGCCGGGGGTTTTCCCACAAAACGCGTAGCTTTTCACACTTACACTTGGTGATGCTCCAAATCTACAATCTTCACTTTTCACACTTTACAGAGTGAACATTCGTTGCGGATGCAGGGCTTACAGCGACGTTTTCCCGCTTTCTGCAGCAACCGAAAAATGGAAGAAGGAAACCCCACGGAAGCCTGAATCGCACCGCAAATCTTTATACAATAAAGCACTTAAAAATCCATAAATCTAATTTTGATATCTTCTCTATGCTATCTTCCTTTGGTTTCGGGTAGCTTTCAACACTGGCAGCTTTTCTGGTAACAACTGTTCCCGCAGTGCCGTTTGAGGAAGCTCACTTTTATATGTTCTGCTGTCTTTTCCGGTATTACGGCGAGGGATTTTCCGCGTTTTTACAAGCAAACTTATCCGCTTCCGTTGTAGATCAGCCAAGATTCACTTCACCAGATTAGAGTTTCCTCTGTGGGGCTGTTTCGGTGGTTTCTCACTCACTCTTTCCGCCCGGGTCCGATGCTGACTATTTGGAAAGCAAGCTTCGACTGTGAGGTGTATCGATCAAACGTTTTGGTTTTGATTTTTTTTTTTCGTTTGGTAAGATTAGCCTCGACAGAATTTTTGTCTCTTGATGAGGATGCGTGTCTGACAAGACATATTCTGGTTTCGACTGTAAAGTCTTCAGCTTTTCACTCACAGCTGAACACATGATAGAGCTGGATAGACCAAACCACTTATTTATCACCCAGTCGATGGCGACACGGAAATAGTGTAGTTTTATACTGAAAAGGAATCCGTTGAATTAATTCTAAAATTATGTAATATTTCTACGTCGATTAGCCATTAGTGTGCAGTAGAATGCGTGACGATTATGGTCGGCCTCACATTAGATAAATTCGATTTCAACCAAACCAATCCGTAATTTCTAATATTTTTAGTATACTGTTCATATTCTTTGGCTTTATTACGTCCCTACTGGAACTTCTCTCCAGCTCTCAACTTAGTGTTCTTTGAGCATGTTCACAGCTGTTAATTGAGAGCTATGCCTGTACCATTTTTGAATTAGTAAGGTATACCGGGGCAGGTTTAAATGTTTTTTTTTTCAATGTTGAACTTCGGGGATCTCTGGAAAAATATTAATATAAAATAAACCAGATGTTTTTGCATGTAAAAGTTTCAAGGTTGGTGTAGATGATTTCATCTTACCCCACACACCGTATGGAAAATTCATGTAAATTGCTGCCATTTATAGCGCACACGTTATTAACACTAGATTTAACGTGAATTTACTCGACATTTCATGTAAATTATTGTGCTCAAATTCGCATAAATCAGCCATGTTGTATGCAACCTTGTAAACAATATCTTTGTTTATGCGACTTAGGGGTAATGGCTCTAATGTTGGCCTATGGATCTAAGATTGGGCCCATCGCTAAAAGTCTGCTATTTATCAATTTTATCTAGATGAACGCGTTATTAGGACGGTACTAATGTATACTTTTGGTCGCTATTGAAAATTTAGTCGATTGCTGAATTTATGTATGGGCCCAAATAAGGAACATTTAGGCCGACATTACATACATTTCCCCTATATCTCAAAATTAAACAAAAGGAGATTTTACGCGTCAATTTAACGATGGACATTCTCATGGAGTGTATATTAGGGTGGGATCTACGACATCTTCGAAATATTGTCCGTAAAGCTCAGAAATATTTCTTCCGTACAAAATATCGTGAGTTTATATCTGACTCAAGTACCTCGAAAAGCGTTACAGGGAATTCCATTTGAACGCGTATCTCAGCTATACCAACCGTATTGAATCAAATTTAAAACGTGATCCGCATCTTTCTCATCCTATATTAAGAACCAGAAAAAAATCAACCGGATTCCCGAAGAATGACGTATGCAGAACAACTGCAAATACACTAGAGAAGTTTGATGACTTATTTGCTAATTTCTTCAGCAGCGTTCGCAATAATGACTCACCCGCTGTTTCATCATTGGCAAAAAACAATAACGAATAAATAATCATAGGGAAGATGGGGGTAAAATGAGCAGGCAGTATAAAACGGGCAGGTACTTGTTTCGTTGGTAAAACTTCAAATATCACTGTTTTGATCATTCATCCTTTACTGCGGTCTTATTTCATGGCAATCGGAACATTCAGTGATTTTCTAAAATTATTAAATGATGCAAAAATAAACCAAAAATGTGATTTTTTTTTTCCTTGATTTTGTTTTCCGTGCTGAGCACCAACGCTACCGACGCCTGGGAGGTAGCTCCCACACCTGGACCCTGGCTTTACTTCCCTTCCGAAGGATGTTAGTGATGTTATGCCTCAGAACATCCTGGCGCCGCCGACTGGGATTGAACGCAGGCCTGCTGGGGTGAGATTTGAAAGTGTAAATGAAGAATTGTACGAGCTTAAAGTGTAAAAACTGTTATAACCGTTCCCATCTTCAAAAATTTAGTTAAGAATTGGATTCAAAATGTCCAATTTCAAACAATTAAAAATATGCTGAATGAGGTATCATGGACAAGTACAAATATGGGAGATAATACTTGGAAGTGTGACAATATGAAATGATATTTATAATTATGGGGTTTTATATAAGTATCATTCTTACATAACTAAAATACTGAGTAATAAAAAATTCCGTGACAATCAGAATCAATAATTTTTAATCTTTTGTTTTTTAGCCGAGGCCTTTTTGTAATGTTATGCGTGTATGTAGAACATGCTATCCAGCTCCTAAAACATCATTTTAAGTTACTTCACTTCCAAATAATCATCGAAAATACTTTTATCAATCTTACAGTTGAATGCCCATTTTAATCCATCGCTTGTCCGTCTTACCCCCACCCCAAAAGAAAATACAATAAGAATGTTTGGTATTAATTCAAAAATGTATAAGGCCTTTCGCAATGCTGTTGTATGTTATATGAACTGTTTCTATTTGAAGCTAGAACAGAAACGCACCCCTCGCAATGCTGAGTTGCAGTTTAATTATTCGAGCACTATTTTGCACCAGATTTGCAACTGCTCGACTATTCGGTTTTATTTCTGAGCGGGTTTGAAGTAAGACTGGAAATCTGTTTCAAATTTCTTTTGATGTGTTTATTTATGTTTCTCCCCAAGTCACCAAAAGTTCTGATAAAAGGCTATTTCTTGCTTAAGCAGCTTGGTTGAAGGTGGTCTATAGAATTCTAAGCAGCCTTATTTTTAAGTTGTTATAAGAACTTGAAAGTTCCGGTACCATAATTGAAGAGCATTTTTTAAGCAGCTTCTGGTGGAACTTGAACGGAACTTTTAGAAAATAAATTGTACTCTACATCAATTATGTATTTAAGTTCGCACTTTTATGAAAGTTAATTCTAAAGGTAAATGGTATTGATTACCAGCATTAGCATCAAGTAGTAGAGAATTGGAACTGTTTGAAGAATTAAACCCAGTCCTTCTGTGTGAGAGCCCCAGCACGAACCGCTACGTCATCTGAGATATAATATAGTGAGCTGTTGTCCCGCCTACTGTTGGAGTTTTCAGTGCCAGCTGACTGACTTGAATATGAAACACAGTACCTTGATGAATTTTAAATTGGTGTTTGCCCGCTTAATATTCCAACACACTTGTGGCGCAGTGGTTAGCAATCGTAGATTGCATGCCGAATACGCGGGTTCGAATCTAGGAAATTACTTTTTTTTATCAACTGCATAAATATAAGATTATGATTTATTAGGGCCACTGATCATTTCATATTTACGTACATTAAATTTTGTTACTAATAAAGACTTGTGCGGATTGCTTCATGTGGCTTGAAAGTTCTGTCGGAACTTTATTTGAACTTTATGGAACTTGAAAGTTCTGTCGGAATTTTATTTCAACTTTATCGAACTTGAAAGTTCTGTCGGGACTTTATTCGAACTTTATGGAACTTGAAAGTTCTGTCGGAACTTTATTTGAACTTTATGGAACTTGAAGGTTTGGTCGGAACTTTATTTGAACTTTATGGAACTTGGAAGTGATATTAATCTTTAAATGCGGAACTTTTGGTTACTTGGGTCGTACATGTTCAAAGAACTTCATAGTAGTTGAGAAGATTTATTAGAAATTTGGGCATTTTTCAGAAGTTTTGAAAACTTCTGAGAAGTTTGGGGATAGTTCATAGAAGATGTTTTTCCGGTTATGTAGTGTTGCAGTTTCATTTTTGACAAATTCAATAAAAATTTGGGAAATTTACAGAAATGTTGTAACTTCTGAGAATATTGAGAATATTTTATAGAAGATCGGAGATCTTCATTTAAATAACGAAGAGCTTCATAAAAATGGAAGAACTTCATAGAGAACAGAAAACATATGGAAATTATATTTTAAAAAAGTTAAAAAGTCTCTAATGTTGGCCTATGGATCTAAGATTGGGCCCATCGTTAAAGATCTGCTATTTGTCGATTTTATCTAGATGAACGCGTTATTGGGACGTTACTAATGGATATTTTTTGTTGTTATTGAACATTTAGTCGATTGCTGAATTTATGCATGGGCCCAAATTAGGGACACTTAGGCCGACATTACCTGCATTTCCTCTATCATTGAAGTTCAGGTTATTTCAAAGAAGTGAGAGGTATTTCATAGCAGATCGAAAAACATTACCGTAGTTTTTAGAATTTCATAGTATGTTATAGAACTTCATGGAAATCCATGTTTCGTCGCAGATGTAGCATGCATAACAGCATCCTTGAAACGCTGTACAAAACAACTCATAAATTATCAAATTGCTTCGGACGCTTGAAACATGCACGACTCGTTAACAACAGAAATTCGTTGACATTTTCTTCAACTCAAATTACTCGTACTTTCCCACAGTACAGAAATCACTTGCGCATCATCATTCCCATAGAAGCCAAGGCAAGCCAAGTTCAAATGTATCTAGCAAGTGCAACCACTTCAAATTAATTTATTGCAAACCTCTTCAGTC